TTGCATAATATAAGTCGGATCCGTAAGTTTTTAAGTACAGATACCACTAAAGCCCTCGTACATGCGTTTGTTACCTCGCGCGTAGATTATTGTAATAGTCTTTTATATGGCTTGCCAGCTTCTCACCTGAATAAGGTTCAGCGCGTTTTAAATGCCGCAGCAAGAATAGTTTGTCGAGCGCCACGCTACTGTCGCATAACGCCGTTGCTGTACGAGCTGCATTGGCTACCGGTTAGGCAACGCATTAGTTTTAAGATTCTACTATTTGTTTTTTAAGGCCATCCATGGATTCGCGCTAACGTATTTAAGAGAACTTGTGTCAGTTAAAAGATTAGGAAATTATAATTTAAGATCCTCCTCGGATGGTTTGTTGCTTGCAACGCCAACTTATATAAGTAGGGTTACATTGGGAGACAGATCATTTCAGGTCGCAGCTCCGGTACTCTGGAATGTTTTACCGCGTGAGATTCGTTCTATTACAGATCGAGGGATTTTTAAGTGCCATTTAAAAACGCACCTTTTTAAGGAAGCTTTTTATTAATTTTTATCAAGAAAATTACTAGTATCTTAACATCTATTGTATATTTCAATTTTATCAGTGTATATTTTAAATAATTATTAGTTAGATACCCTGCCATTAAATTAGGGAAGCTTTTCATTCATTTTTATCACGATAATTACTAGTATCTTAACATATGTTGTATATTTTAATTTAATCATAGTATATTTTAAATAATTATCAGTTAGATACCCTGTGTTAAATTGCCACAGATAGAAATCATGTAATGCGCGCTTGGTCGTGTCATGGAAAGCGCGCAATATAAGAGTTAAATTATTATTAATATTATTATTATTAATTAAATTATTATTATTACCATTTCCCAATTCCCTTCTTCCTTACTTACTCACTGCTGATTATAAAGAGATAGTGAAAAGCTTACAAGAATGAGAGATTAAGCCATTTTATTTATCAAGAAGCGCTATATTAGTTATAGTAATTGATTTCTCTGAAGAGAGGCTGGGAGAACATTTTTCTGAATCTGACTTCCCACTTAAATGTGGTGGTGGGTAAAAGTAGCACGCGAATGATAAAAAAAATTGCTTCGACAGTCTTAAATGGAAAGGACTTACACTGGAAAACTTAACTTGCAGATAAAACAAGGTTCTGTGTTTTAACGGGGATGAAAGGATATTTCAACATTTCAATCCATGTGCTTTCAAAACAGCAAGAACGAAGGTAAAAAATGTAAATGGTAAAACTGCAATTTACTTAGAATTTCCTGGAATGGAATTGGGTGAACTGAGGTGAATGATATTTTCAAGAAACGATTTACTCTCTAACTTTTGTTTTACAGAAAGATCACTGATACAGACTGAAAGTAGTATGTAAATTTCGGACGTAATGCTATGCAATACTTTTGCGATGGGTAAGAAAATCGTGAATGTGTGGCCGATTACGCTAAAATACAAAATTTCCGTGTCCGTCTCAGGCTTTGTCTTCCTGTTCGTTTATTCATGTAAGCTTTCCTTTTTTTTTTCCTTTGCTGTTCAGTAGCTGGTGTGAGACCGAGAGTAACATCCCACAGTTGAGTAAACCTTTTCCTTACCCAGATTCCTCCGGGTGCAGGACCGGGCTAATTCAATCCTGACCTCATTTCCCAATGTAGAGGGTAAATTCTCACGGATAACTATTGGAACTATCTGCCCCCAGCAAACTGTTATGATCCGGCTGATCTACTTCACTGGCGAATACTGCTCCAAGGATTTTGGATCTTTATATTTGATCATAGCCTCGTCCAGCGCCTGCACTTGATGAGAGTTGTAATTCAACCTAAAGCTGATGTTCAAATCATTCAGGAATTCTTTTCCTTAAATAGTTTGCCTAAGTTTTTATCTCCACAATAGGACATTTTGAAGTTATCACCAGGATGAATATTGTATAAATTTCAAGAAATCCGTTCCGAGCAATTATTCTCGAGAAAGCCGGACCACATAAAACCCGATCGGTTGACAAGCTTTCTCTCAAACTAGGCGCGCGGTGGATACTCATAGCAATTGGTAGTCTAAGAAAAACTTTCAACTCCGCCACAGAAACCTGTTTCCATGAATCTGGTTCCCTGCTTCTCTGTGCCAAAACCTGGTGCGCAGAGTGGTTTTCCTTACAATAGTTCCCACAATGCAATTGTCCTTGAAGAGCTGATGAAAATCGACAGGTAAACTGCCTCTTGCTTTTGCCGTGATCACGACGCAATTAACTTTAGGGAATTTGGGCTCGTGCTGAGCACATTCGTGAGGCATCAAGCCACAAAGGGTTAAGAAGAACTTAGTGACCCATGTAAAACAGCCGAGCCCGAGGCGCGATAACACGCTGATAAGACTGATTATTACTACAAAAAATTCCAAATGATTGGGCTTTTGGCCGATGTGACTCTAACCACAGTTATTTTAAATTCGTTCTTCCCGTTTTGACGAAACATTATTACTGGAAAGTCGTAAGCTTGCGGATTGACAAACTGTCTTGTCTTAATTTTCTTAAACCAGAAAATTGATATCACATAAGTTTGACCACAAAATAAATGGAAAACAAGGGGATGCACAGTGTCTTTGGTTCATTCAAACACGTGAGCGCATCTGTCATTATTTTGATAAAATGTAATTATCATTTTCTGGGTTTCCTATATTTTTTTCCTTACTGATCAAAATCATTCTTGTGCTGCAATGGAAAAGTGGTGACTCTATCAAAAGTTTTGAAAAGGTTTACGAAAAAATAAAAACGTTCTTTCCCCATTTTGTTTTCTCCGTGAATTCAGAAACGTAAGCTCCTTCAATATGTGTTATTTTCAAACATTTCTAAGTAGATTTAATCTGAGTCAAAGATTCTGTGTTATTAAAATTTTCGCGTTGAAGTGATAAGAGTTACACCCGAAAAAGTATAATTCCATTTAATACCCTTGTTTGACGCATACCTCTGTGTCACACAACCCTCTAAAACCAGGTGATGATGCTACAACCTTCAAAGCGGGATTGAACGAAATGCAAAACCTCAAAGGGGTGTCTGGACTTTTCGTTGATAAGGCAGAGTATGTGGTTTTAGGGCAGCTGTAACTCTAACCTTGCAAACTTTTAATATTAAGCGCAAACGCCCTTTGGGTTTTCAAAGAGAACAAAAGAAGTAGAAACTATTGAGCGCTAAAGTGAAATACGGTAGGTTTATCTACTCTGACTCATTTCGTAAAAGTAGCGTGTACAGGGTCAGTTGATCTATTTAAATTTTCGTTCAATTCTTCGGCAAACTTCTCGGTTAATGATGTGCTTTTCAGTGACCTGCGGAGTTATCATTAACATTTCACTTGAATCTCTATATTTAGCGTGTCTTGTCAAACAAAAGACGAGTAAAAAACACTACTCAGGTTTTCAAAGCATTGGCATAGCTGCCAACCTCTGTAAATTTTTTTTTTTCTTTTTACCTAGGTAATTAGCAGAGGCCATTAACCCTTTCACTCCGAGAAGTGTGATGAATCTGTAACTTCTTCAAATCTTCAAACAGGTAATGAGAATACTCAATCTTATCAGACAGGTTGTATCAGACAGCGCGTATCCGGTCTCAGTTGTAGCACGTCACGTGTTTCAGACTAGAATTCACATGATGAAATAAGGTATGGGTTATTTAAGAAATGCATCATGATTCGCCGAAGACTTAATCAAAGAGAAAAAGTTAGTCTTATTCTGATTGGTTCTTGTCAAAGTTTATATATCATGTGCTTGTTTATCCAGTCAGCATGTATCGGGTATTTGTGTGTTGTTAGTGTGAAACTACTAATGCAATAATTACACAAACTTTTCCTTTTAAAATGATGGAAACACGACAAAGATTACACTCCTCCTGTCGTAGTTTCACCCTCGGAAATCTCGGACATATAAGGAGGTCGCACTAAACCAACCACAGATTGTGCTCCCTCCCTGACAACCAACAAATTATCGCTATTTCATGGGGTATTAGTTGCTCTCTATTCCAGCTATAAACATGGATATTAATGTCGTTAGGCACGATCAATTAAGATGGTACTGGGGATTCAATCTATCTGATCCTCCGTTTGAAGTTCTGGCTTAATCAAGGGAACTTACTACCAGGCAACAAGGGAAGTTTATCTTCACATCCACCTTCATTACTGTTCATCTACTGTTCGAACCTCTCTACAAAGTCTAACTTTGGAAGAAAGAAACGAAAATTTTTTCGTTAGGTAGCGGTTAATTGAGGGTACGTGCAGCGTGAATTCTGTTTTTTCTGAAGAGCAGAGCATTCTAACTTCTTAAAAAAAAAGAACAAAACAAAACAACTAAGCAAAGCAACATCAACAACAACACCAAGACACGTACAAAATAAAAAAAGGTAACTGAATCAAAGCAGAGCAATTCTTCGGAAACCAAAAGCTCATGTTCAGAATAATAACAAAACGAAACGAGTGATTCAGAATGATTAGATACAAGTTTGCAGAACAGCTGTTTTTAGTTACACAGACATTTATTACACCTCTGTATAACACTGTCAAGGATTGTGTGCCCGATTGATTTGTTACGCATTTTACTTTGTCAAACGTCCACTTAGTGATTAACTTATGGTCATGGAGATGTTATGCAGCATTCACGCAGCACCTTAGCGGCCTTTGCCTTGTGAAGAGTGTCAAGAGGGAAAAAGGCCTAAGTGAACTGTCATTCATGGCAAAATAAAAATGTTCGGTGCGAAGAGGTGGTCGTTGTAGAGGGATGGCCGTCAGCGTTGGTTTGACCTTAGTTTCCTAATTTAGGAGGGCAGTTCTAGAGGTCGTGGGGTAAGGTGTGTGCCCAATCACAATAAGTTCGTGATCCCCACGTGCATCTGTCTCTTAGAAACAAAACGATCTACGTAATCTACGATCTACGTAAACAGTTTTTTATTATACGTTATATACGTCCTCCAAGTTTAGTTGTCAAAAGAGCGGCAGCAAGCTTATGCCGGCAACATGTTCTCCTTAGTGTTGATAGCAATTTCAGCTTTGGTTCCTGCCAATGGCGCTGATTTGTCTGCTGAGTTTGCTCACGAAGCAGTTTTAGATACTTACGAGAAAATGAAACTGTTCTGGACGGTGAACTGGGAAAATAAAACCGTATCCTTTGCCGTTCAGGCAGCAACAACAGGGTGGGTTGGTTTCGGAATCTCTTCGGGTAATGGAAATATGGCCGGAAGCGACATGGTTATCGGATGGGTGAAGGACTCCAAGGGTTACCTAACGGTAAGTGAATTTTTGCCGAAAGGACATTAGTCACGGTGGATTTCTAGGCAGAAAAAAAAAGGTTAACAAAGAAAAGAAGGAGTTAACGCCATCACTACATCCGGATTTAGATGACTAAACAAATAGCCAAAGCGACGTTAAAAACTGCATTTTTAGCCATTTCTATTTGGATCAAAACTTCCAACACTTTCAAACCAGTGCCTAAATTTAGGAAGTTTTTGTAATTGCACGGAAACATTGGAATTTAAATGCTGTTCAAGCAAAGATTTGCTCTTCTGTGAAAATTGTTTACATTATTAGCGGTATCAGCACAACATTGACCCGTTGTCACGCTAACCTGCCTGAACATAAAGGTAAACTGATGCATCTAAGATTTTTTTGTTGTTTAAATTATGCAAAACAGTTTTGTATTATACGTTGTCGTTGGTAAGCGAAATAAAAAAGGAGCAACTACTTGTCTTTTCAGAAGAGTTGGCCCTTCAAAGCTGTACATTTTTCATTACAGAATAGTCTGCAGTTAAGCTGTGAATGAAGCTTAGCTTAGACAAATAGATAACCACGGTTAGTTTTGATCTCGTTGTATTGACTTGTTTTGAAGGACCGGTTTGCTGATGCCCAAAGCTTTCCACCGTTGGACAAAGAAAACAACTACAACTTAACTGGGTTTGAGGAAAGCGAAGGGAAAACTGTGTTGAGATTTTGTAGGAAATTTGACACCTGTGATCCTCGCGACAGGAAGATCGAGGTAATCCTTAACATAGCCTATTCGTTTTTTTGCCGCCAACTCAGCCAAATTGTTTAACCACGGCTAAAAAGTAATTGTACTGCCTTTTAAAGGCAGTGTTACTGTGTCTGAATAAATTGTATACCATATTGATATAACATTTATCGCTACATCATTCAACTGTTCAGCGCTAATTAATTATGTTTTCTTGTTTCTTTTTCAAAGCAAATCAAGTAAATTGCTATTTCCTGGTTCATTTTCTTTTACAGGAAGGCACCACTAAGGTTGTTTTTGCATATCATGCAGAGGACCCCACGTCTGAGGACGATATGAAGAAACATACATTCCAAGGGTCGAAGAGCATTCTACTTCTTAACAACATGGACAAAAAACAAGTGAACGAAACCGGGTGGAAGCAGTTTTACGTCACAAATAGAAATGTTAGTTACAAATAAAAGTTCTTCTTTTATTTTTTTAAATTGTGGAGAACGTTATCGAAAGTGAAGATTGTAGAGTGTCCATTCAGGGAGTTTGAAGCCTACTCAAAACAGAGATATACATTTTTTTTCAGATAACGATTCCTAAAAAGCGCACGACTTATTGGTGTTCTCTTATCCAACTACCCGAGTTCAAATCAAAGCATCATATTACAAAGGTGAGTACAGAAGTGCAAAACATTGCAATAAAACCTGTTTTCATCCGTTTATCTCTTCTTATGGTTAAGTGATTGATCAATGCAGAAGGCCACCGCGTAAATTCTTACGAAAATGAACTTGAATGTTCGAAAAATTATGAACTTGCATTTTCAGAAATGTGTTGATAACAAATTGTTTAGACGCTCCAACTGAGTTCTTCAAGGAAAGGCAAGTTCGTAGCCGGTGAGAGTTCGTGACATTGCAACAACTTTTGACATTTCATTAATGCATTTCAAAATTCTCCACTTATTATTAGTCGTGTTAGAAAAAGCCACACTTTAAAGTTGAGTGGTTAGCTAATAGCGGATTACGAAATATCTAGGAATAGGGAAGAACCTAAGGTGGGTTTACGAAAGGTGTGCCGATTGGCCCAGGGTTTCACAAACGTTTTGGTTCTTAGTGGCATTCTAGAGATTTCCTCGTATTAAGTAATCAATAAGTAGAAGTAAAGCGTTCCACTATTGATGTTGGTGTCGCTTTCGAAGAATTTTCAGTTTTTTCCTCTTTTATAGTTTGAGCCATATGTAACACCTGGAAACGAAGGCATTGTGCATCATTTACTCGTCTACGAATGTTATGGGAATTTTAGTAATGCTACCTTACATGGTTCTGGCTTTGACTGTCATGAAACACCCAATATGCCTCTAGGACATTGTTACGGCTACAGTGTCGTTGCTGCTTGGGCTGTTGGTGGTACGGTAAGATATAAAACTTATAAATTGGACTTGCTCATCTTGGGAAATGAACTTTTAATTTGAAACATTTTGAATTTGAAAGGTTTTTCGTTACTCTTCCTAAAGAAATATATATATATATTTTATCAAATAGGCATTTTATTATCCACCTAAGGCTGGGTATCCAGTTGGTACGTCGGACTCGCCAAGAACACTTTTGCTTGAACTACACTACGACAATCCCAAATCAATTGAAGGTTGGCACCTCACATTTTGCTTTTTTTATTCGTTTTCATTTTTAGTTAAGGAGAAAAAGTATTAAGAGGTGTCGTTTTTTGCCCTCAGCCATAAAATATCTCATTCCCTCAATATCTTTTATTTTTTGTCAAATAGGACGAAGAGACAGCTCAGGGGTTCGTTTTTACTACACTCCTCATCTCCGTGAGTACGATGCTGGAATAATGTCTGTTGGAGAAGATATAACTGACCTTGCGATAATCCCACCAAAACAGGAATCTTGGTTGACTGTGGGTTATTGCCCCAAAGAATGCTATCAGGTAACTCAAATATTCACAATAATTTCTTAAATTCATCTCCATGCAATACAGAGTTTAGAAAAAAATGAAAAAAAAACCAAAAAACAGAAAAAAAAACAATGCATGGCAGTATGGTGAAGCTGGCTCCGAAAATGGGCAAAACACAGGTGGTTAACAGATTATGATTTCACCTTTTTTTTATTCACGGTGCATTTAAGTTCGCACAGTGCCTAGGAACGTGTGTCATAAATTTACTTCTGCATTTAACATAAAGCACCTTTTTTTCTTAGGAAGACTTGCAGGCGACTAAGCTCCCTGAAAAAGGAATAAAAGTGTTTGCTGCCCTTCTTCACACCCATCTGCAGGGTAAGTGACCTTGCACTGCTTTTGTTATTTAGAAGTGGTGGTTGTTGTTTGTTTATATTTACGCCTGTCTGTCTTATGTTTCCATGTTCTGTTGACAGTCGTACGTCATTATGGAGCCAAACTTAAATATCACTGAGTTTTTTTTGTTTTCATCCACAGGGCGTGCAACATGGACAAAGCATGTTCGCAATGGAATTGAGTTACCAGAAATTGCGAGAGATGACCATTATGATTTTAACTTTCAGGTAATTTATATAGTGTGGCACAAGATCCACCATTAGCATCTGGCGAATGCACAAGAATTATAACACATGGCTTCTTTCAAAAAACAATTTGCAACAGTATGCTGCTCCCTCTTCAACTTGTCCTTTATTTCACTTGAATCAATTTGTCCAATCGGAACTACTAATTTTTTCACGACATCCAGAATCCTCTAATTTTCGATATAAATGTTTTTATTTTACCCAGTCGGTAACAACATCAATGATTATCGCGACCGTATAAGATAACTCTGCTACTTGCCAGTTATCGCTTACGGAAGTCATATTATAACCATAACCTTAACTTACTGAGCACTGTGGCCATTCTCTGAGAAATTACGCGATTGCATGTGGGGGAAAAAGCAATTAAGATTCAAGTGCTCCTTTCGGGTGTCGAAACGTGATACATTCTAATAAGTGCCTTAGTATATCTTCTACTACGTGAGCCATAGGACATTGCTGGCTACCAAGCTGCGAAATGATCTCATTGAAAGAACGTTTATTCATTTTCCAACAGTTAACTTTCACTTGTTGTTTCGCAGGATATACAAGTTTTAAGAGAAGAGGCTCACATCAAACCGGTTTGAGAAAACTTTGATTTTAGTGCCACTTTTCCTTAGAATTACATTTGATTTCAGCACATAAACGCGTAATAATTAATATGAGTTAGACGATGTGTCCCACTGATTTATTCAATGCACTCAAGCTTTCCACGCAACCATTTCGAATTAGTATTTAAATGAGCAAATGTCATGGAAAAATCTGATAAAAGAATAACATTGTATATGATTATTTTACGTTCCTTTTTAAAATCAAGTTAGATTAAGTTAATTTGTGTTTGATTGTTTTTATCAGATCGAGATTTGTGAATTGGCCTCTAGATGATCACCATACATTTCGTTTTCTTCACTGACGTCTTTCTTATCCTTCAGGGGACGACTTAATTCATTTCTGCAAATACGAGACGATGGATCGCGATAAACTCGTGCAGGCAAGTGCGATATCTGAGCCCTCAAAAATCACTAAGTAGTCTCTCTAAGAATAAGGACGGCATTCAGAATTCAGACTTATGCCAGCCGAGGTGTTGGTTTCCTCTTAACAGTGACATCTCTCTCAATCTATATTTCAAGAGATTGCAATAAAAACATGCCATCGTTGATTTTTGCTGTATATGCTTCATGACAGACTAAAAGATGATGTACTCTTCTTCCTCTTACAGGCTGGTAGCTCCACCACTCAAGAAATGTGTCTGAATTACATGTTTTACTATCCTCGAATGGTGAATGCTACAGCATATTGCCTCAGCAGCCTACGTAAGCCAGTGCACGACTTCGTTAAAGAACACTTGTAAGTGAATTAATACATACTTGTTAAAGTAAAGTTGAAATTAGATCTGGTCTGCTTTCAGGAAACCACCTTAATACGTCTGTCGAGAAAATAATCAAAACGGAGCATCAAAAGTGCGAAGAACTGCTCAAGTAAAACCGGTGGTGCATGCTTTGCCACCTTAAATATTTCGCATTTCTCAATAATAATCCTGTTTTTGGGAGCTATTTTACTGAATAATCACCCATCCTTACTTAATTTCACAAGTACTGTCATCGCCTAAATAATAAAGTAAGAAGTTTAACACTGAAGTGTTGGTATTCGGGGCATTGTAATTATTTCCTAGATATGCTAGTTGTGTATTTGGTTCAATCCTCTACTGTCGTGCTGAGGTATCCCCCCCCCTAAAAGGAGAAAATGAATTTCTTTTACAAGGGGCTCTATCATAGCCTATATCCGCGAATTTCATTCTTCGCGTGAATAGAACTGATCCGTCCAGCAAGTTTCTTGAAGGTAATAGAACATTCAGCGTTGATCATGACTGGCATCCTTTCTTCGCCAAGTCGTCAAGAAGCTGGATAAATCTCATTGGCGTTCTAGTCAACTAACACAGTGAAAATTGACCAACAAATGAATTTAAGCACGTGACTCTCTGACAGAGTATTATCCTCATAACAGCCTAGAGAACAAAACTCAAAGCAAACTGCAAAAAGAAATGTTTGCGAATACGAAAAGAGTTGAAGAACTCGGAGCAGATGTAAAGCACACACCATAGCACCTAAAGAAGTGAACATGATTGCGGAGTTAAACCAAAGATTGTCTATTAAATCGTAGAGGTATAGCATGTCTTGTTTCAAGCAATGTTTGGTTTCAATCTATTTTTAACTTTAATTTTCCTTTGTCTAGCCCTTCCTTAAAGGGGTCAAAATGGTCAAATCCTCTCATTGGGGCAAATATCTCATGGACGAAGGAATTGGTGTCTGACTTGAGGAAGAAATTTGATGAAGCAGAGACATTTTCCACATATTGTCCCGCGGTCAGTAAACTCATTAGGGGGCACGAAACTCGCTACAGTTAACATTACCGTACAGTGCAATTCTTGAGGGTGCTAATGAGATCCCGACATAACGTGCATGAAAAAATGTCGAAATGATAAAACAAGACAAATAATGGGCGTATGATCATGAGTGTGTGTGCTTGTCTATTGGGTGGAGGGGACCCTCTTAATCTGGGATGGTAAATGCCTGGTCATAGGCATAGTTTTCATCGTAATCGTAGTTTTCTTTATTTTCAATTTGATTCAGTATGTAACAGTAAGTCTGCCACCTCCTTAGAGGAGTAAAAGTAAGTGTACAGCGCTGAGTCTCCTGTGAAATATCGTTAATGTTTTCCTTCCCAGAGACCTAACAACTACACATATCCGATTCCAAAGATCATGAAGCCCTTACCTCCTCGACAGTCCAACTGCCGCGAAAGAAGCACAACACCGGCCCCTCCAGTCGGAAAAACGGTCCCTCCTGTTGGAGAAGCCTTCTCTGTGACGACCTCGTACTCCACAGCAATATCTCTGCTTTTTAGCTATTTCGTGTTCATGTGAACGATCAGATATGCCATCATGATCACAGTTCAAGACTGTCTATCACAAATTGTTAGAGTTTACACTTAAACCAATTTTTGCTCCATATCTTAACCTAGAGATGATCTCTTAGAGGATTAACACTGCTAAAGTGGACATAGATATCCATCACTAACAGCATTAGTGAGCTTTTTTTTTTATAGAGGCGTTAACGGCTAAGGCAAACGGAAAAATAAACTCTGATTTCCCTCACCTTGTACTTGGTGTTCTCGATTACTCTAGAATTCCCTTATTAAACTAGTTCTTGCATACTGCTGTACAATATGGGGTAACTGTTCAAAATAACAGTTGAATAAATTGTTACGGCTACAGAACCGCTGCGCCAGAGTGATGGTAGATGTTAATTTACAGGACAATTCAGTTATGTTATTTACCAAATTAGGTTGGCTTCCCATCGACAACATCATTCGCGCAATTTCACAAAATCGGTAACCGGCGACCATGGTTAAGAATATCTTTACTTTCATATTAACTACATTAAGGTTAGTCAAAACACTACACGAGAACTTCAGAAAGAAATCTTCTTATCATGCTTATGAGCAAGAATAATTAAGGCCTCAGAAAATTCCATTCCAGTGCCACTCGTCGATGGAACGGACCGGAACCATCTCTTAGAGATACGAAGTCACAGAGGCGCCTTTTAAGTCCCCTTCACAGAAAAATTAGACTGGAAAAGCTCTGTTACTGAACAGTGTGTTATTGAATACAAATATTAACTTCAATTTACCAAGCTTCTTTTTCTTTTCCTTCAGATTTGGTTTGTTCTAGTTTTAGATTATCAAAGGGGGGATTATGTAAACTATTGAGTTATCGTTAATCGATGTTACCCTCGTTAAATAAAATTAAAATTAATAATAATATAACTATCATTATCCAATCATGTCCCACCAAAAGAGCACAAAAGAAAGAACAATATTATTAAAAACAATGTATGAAAGTCGAAGAAACTAGTTCCTGCGATTGAAATTCTTCACACCTTACGCATGAAGATCGAGACAAGTGATTTTTAGCGAGTGCTCTGTTTTGTCAAAGGTATAAACTGGCGTTTCTTTAACTACTCCTGATTGAATCTAATTTAATTGAATCTAATGCGTAACAATGGCAGCGATTTGTCACGCTTCGAAAAGCTCTCGCTATTCTGTGACTTTGTTGGCTCTATGCATCGCGTTTTTTATGTTGACAGAAATCTACTTACCAAGAAACGTACTGGAAACCTGGAAGCACCGAGAGACGAAAAATATAACCAGTTATCGGACGGAATTTGGATCTCAACCTGAAAGAACACAGAGTCAAAGACCACTTTGCCGTGGAAAACGAATTCTTCTTTTTCGAGTGCGCCACTCAACCGATGAGCGGAGCTGGTTTAACATCCAATGACTATAACGTTGTGCAGATATTCAACTTAATTCAGGCCTGATAAAGTTTCTCTGTAACGAAGGTGAGAAGAGTGTTCGAAACAATCAGAATGCTCTGAATGTGGTCTATGGATTCACGCAAAGTGCCTCAACATGTCGACATCGACTTTTAAATATTTTCTTGAACGACCAGCAATCTATTTTGAATGGACTTGTCTGCTATGTTCTCTACCGAGATTGAAGGACTAATTTTTTTCCTTAAGAATGAAGAAATAACAACAATCGAAGGAAAGTACACAAATCAGCTTCTATAACCTAATGCAAGTGAGATGAAGAACACACAATTTCACTCCCAGGAGAATATGGCAATTAACAACTGCGGCCAACAGGAATTTGATCTGCTCTTGCAAGAAAGGCAGGAACATTTCAATCGGATACTAATGTTCCATCTACACATCAACAGCCTCCAAAATAAATTTGATGGACTGAAACTCCTAAATGATGAGATGAAGTCGCAAATCATTTTTCTCCCAGAGATAAAGATCGACAAGTCCCACCCGAAGAGCTAGTTCACCTTAACGGGTTACATGTATCGAAAAGACAGAGAGAAATGGCCTATTTTAACTCTAGTCAACCCTCGAAGGAGCTGAAAGTAACGAAGAAATACAAAACACTCGAGATTATTGCATTAGAAGCTAGACTTGGCAACAACGAAGTCATTTTCCTTGGCATATAGCGATCCTCAAAACAGTCGGATCACCAATCAGACCCACATTATTTAGAACGTGTAGAGGAGGAACTGAACGACGTCTGTGAGTGGGCTTCCCTCAAGAAACAAATATTTATTATTACAAGTGATCTGAAGCTGGACAGGCTAAAAGCAGAAAGCAGAGAAGGGAAAATACTTGCGACCTAGAAGAAGTGAATGGAATGCAATGTTTAATCACCGGGCCGACGAGGATTAGGCCGACATCAGAGACACTGCTAGACGTTATTTTAACCAACAAATCCAACCTTTTCAGGACGGAAGGCTCTTTTAACTCAGAGATATGTGATCACCACCTCATTTATGGCATTTTAAAGCAATCTGCATTACAGTATAGACGGAAGACCATCCCATTAGAAGCCTGAAAAACGTGGAAACGGTTCAGCTTAATGAAGACTTGGCAAAGCATTTTGCTATACTGAAGGCCAGCCAAACTCGCACGAGACAAACAGAGGCAGTGTCACAATGGTACAAGGAAAACCTACCGCAAGCCAATCCTCAGAAATACCAGATCCTTACTATAGATCTACATCCTTCCAAGAAAACCCCTGGATATGAATTGACGATGAAATTCGATGGACACGAAGTTAAATCAATTGATTATCTCAAAATTCTTGGCGTAACCATCGACAACAAACTGACATTTAGTTAACATATCAGTAATATTTGCAAGAAAACGAGCTGTAAAGGTTGGAGTGTTACTGGGACTACTTAAGTTAATCCCATGGTCTGAAGAGTAACAGCTGTGTCTGTCTTATATTTCGCCCCACTTTACATATTGTGATATTGTATGGCACTTTTGCAAATCATCCGATGGGAAGAGAATGGAAAGAATTCAAGAGCGGGCACTCAGGGCAGTCT